ACAACATTGGTTCTTCACTGAAGACAGCGGAGCAAGCCAGGGCAAAGCTCGGGTAACTGCAGGACGTACCCCAGCTTTCCCTATTGGTAACCTTTCTTTTGCCGAATATTGCTCAGTACTTCGTATCCTTTTTTGTGTAATTTCTGATCAGCAAGTGAAAAGGACAGTCAGTTTCCGAATCGGCAAGCAGCAATTAATCCATTTTCAGATCTGCAATTAATCAGTTCTCAGAAATCTATTTTCAGCAACTATTCAAATCAGTGCTCAACAATCTGCTCTCAGAAATCTGTCTTCGGTGACTATCCAAGTCAGTTTCCAACTGTCATCCAAATCAGATCATCAGCATTTGACTAGCGTTTAATCAATCCATAGTCAGCATCCGGACAGTGCTCAACTAGCGCTCGATCTGCATGCATCTCAGCAGTAGTTAGTCCGTCCTTTTCCATCAGCAATTAATCAGTGATATTCAGTTTTCAATCAGAGGTTAACCACCAGTTGACAGACATTTGATTGACACTCGGTCAACGCTCTGATAACGATCTCAGTGGTGTTCAACTTTCACAGTTAGTTATCAACCAGCAACCAGTTATGAATCATTCAGCAACTAATCAGCAATCGTTCAACAACCAATCACCAACCAATCACCAATCAATCAACGATTGGGTGAGCGTTCAGTCAGTGTTAATCAGGTTGGGCCTCTATCTATAGGCACACTGGTCTTGGCGCACAACTCATCACATAATTATAATTCAGTCCTTTCCTGTTCCAGAGGCAATCAACTGCCAACCCAACAATCTACCCAATAGCCTTTTCATACCCAAATCATCCAAGAGTCACCCGTCTCGAGTTGGGTGAACTGATGTAGTGAGAATTCGGTGAGAATATGGAGAGCAGCAACACGGTTAGAGTCTCCTGCTCGCTGTATCAGAGCACTGCATGGACCTGGAGGGAGAGTGTTGTTGAGGAATACAATCAATAGACTACTATGATGATGGAACATGCACTGACCCTCGTGAGGAATCATACTAAAATCGAGTACACGTACTATTTGCACGATAAGAATGGCAAACTATGTGCCACCATAACTTCTGTGGGTACTATTGAGGAAGCAAGGATTGTTGGCAGCCACCAGTGAGCGTTTTGTTTTGAGTCAAGAACAACTCACTTATCCGGACATTCAGCAATCAATTCAGCAACCAGTTTGGTAATCAGATCGGTAATCAAGTCATAGAAAGTCAGCAAACAGCAGACACCACATCCATGAGTGCGGTCCAATCATTCCTGGTCAGTGAGTCAGTACTGGCCAATCTCAATCAGATTTCATGCAAAGAGGCATTCCGCT